TCTGCTATTAAATATGGGCGTGATTATGTAACATTAGATGTAGTTATAAATGGGTTAAAATCTAAAGAGTTAGATTTACAAATACATAAGTCCAATAAGGGTGAAGTCATGTATGCTAGAGGTAGATCTCATTTTAGATCAAATAAAAAGACTAATTCTGGAAATTATAATAATAGTAATAAAAACCAGAATAATAGAAATAAATATATATCTAAAAGTAGAGGAACTAGTAGGTCTAGAACTCCAAATAAAGGAGGTAAGAGATGCTATAATTGTGGTGATCCTAACCATTATATACGTGAATGCCCTAAACGAAAAAGTAATAATGTTCCAAACAGTAATAATAATAGTAGCCAACAACATGTTAGTGAGTTAGCCAATATGACATTACTTGATCGTAATTGTGGTGATATATTTACTGTTACTGTCGACTGTTTGAATGTGAACAATGTATGTATGAATGAATGGCTTATTGATTCTGGATGCACTTATCATATGACTCTATTGAAATCGATTTTTTGTGAATACAAAACTTTAGAAAATTACACTGTTTCCATGGCTGATAATATTGTCTCTAATGTGCTTGGAATAGGTAGTGTAAATTTGCAATTTAGCACTGGTTTTGTGTTAAAATTAAAAAATGTGAGACATGTACCTGGTTTGTCAAATAATTTGCTTTCTTGTGCTGCATTATCAGATTTAGAATTAGAGGGAAAATGGGGAAATGATTGTATGAAAATTACGAAGGGATCTTTAGTTGTGTTTAAAGCTGTAAAACGTAATAATTTGTACGTTACTTGTGCTGAACCAATTAATATGCCTGTAAACACAATAAATTCTGTTAAAGAGAATAATGATTTGTGGCATAAGAGATTAGGACACTTAAGTAATAAGAGATTAGAAATTTTACATAAAAATGGATCCTTAGGTAATGTAAAATTTAATCATGTGTCCTTTTGTGATAATTGTGTATATGGTAAACACCATAGGGTCCAATTTCCCCATCCCCCTAGTGAAAAACGTGATTTATCTAAATCTATATTGGATTATTTGCATGCTGATGTGTGGGGCCCAGCTAGTGAGCCCACACATGGTGGGTCTAGATATTTTTTATCCATTATTGATGATTTTTCAAGAAAAATCTGGGTATTTCTTATGAAAAATAAATCTGATGTGTTTGATGTTTTCAAAAATTGAAAATCAAACAGCAAAGAAAATTAAATGTCTTAGAACTGATAATGGTTTAGAATTTTGTAACTCCTGGTTTGATGTTTTTTGTCAAGAAAATGGTATAAATAGACATAGGACTGTCCCCTATACACCCCAGCAGAATGGGGTGGCTGAAAGGATGAATCGAACTCTTTTGGAGAGAGTTCGAAGCCTTTTGGCTTCATCCGGTTTATCTAAAAAATTTTGGGGGGAAGCTGTTATGACAGCAACTTATATAGTTAATAGATCACCCTCTATTCCTTTTAATGGCGATTGTCCTGAATTTAAGTGGACTAATAGGAAAATTGATTTTTCAAATATTCGGGTGTTTGGGTGTTCTGCTTTTATACGTGTTAATAATGACAAATTAGACCCTAGAGCTGAAAAATGTGTTTTCTTGGGTTATCCGGAAGGAGTTAAGGGTTATAGATTATGGTTAAGGTCTAGACCTGGTTTTAAAGCTGTTATTAGTAGAGATGTTGTTTTTTATGAAAATGAGATGCCTTGTTTAAATGTTGAAAAATCTGTTTTGGATAAATCTGAAATTGATACTGAAAATGTAGACTCTAATAATACTCCAAATGAGGTGGAGTATAATATTGCTAATATAGATGAGGTAGAAAATACAGAAAATAGTGCTAAAATTCGTGTAGGATCAGCTGTGAGAGAGGAAAATATTTCTGGAAATGATATTAGCATATCTGAAAATCAAAATGAATCTGATTTTGAGAATAATAATCAAAACGAGTATGTTTTTGAAAATTTAAGTAATAATGAATCTGATTTTGATAGTGGTAATCAAAATGAATTAGAAAATTACCAATTAACTAGAGATAGGGGTAGAAGAATCCCTAGGTTGCCTACTAGGCTTGGTGATTTTGATTTGTCTTCTTTGGCTTTTAGTGTATTGGAGAATTCAGATGGTAATGAACCTAAGACTTTTAGCGAGACCATAAATTTTGAGAATAAAAATTAGTGGGTAAAAGCAATGAAAGAAGAAATGGATTCATTATATGATAATAAGACTTGGTGTTTGGTTCGTAAACCTCCTAATTGTTCTCTTGTTGATTGTAAATGAATTTATAAAGTTAAGCAAGAAGATAGTGGAATTAGGTTTAAGGCTAGATTAGTAGCTAAGGGATTTACCCAAAAAGAAGGAATAGATTATAATGAAATTTTTTCACCTGTTGTCAAATTTACCACTGTTAGAGTCATGTTAGCTCTAGTTGCATTTTTATGATTGGGAGCTAAAACAATTAGATGTTAAAACAACTTTTTTACATGGTGAATTAAATGAGAAGATTTATATGAAACAACCTGAAGGTTTTATTGATAAAAATAAAATGGGTCATGTTTGTTTGTTAAATAAATCTTTATATGGTTTAAAACAGTCACCTAGACAATGGAATATCAAATTTGATAATTGTATGAAAAATCTTGATTTTATTAAAAGCAAATTTGATTATTGTTTGTATTATAAGACTGTTAAAAACCAACCTATTTTTCTTCTCATTTATGTTGATGATATGTTGATTATTAGTCCATGTTTAAAGCTTATTGATAATGTGACTAAGTGTTTGTGTGATAATTTTGACATGAAATTGTTGGGTGATGCCAAAGTAATTTTAGGCATGTGTATCACTAGGGATAGAAAAAATTCAAGACTGTTTTTAAACTAGTCTACTTATATTTCAAAAATTCTTAAGAAATTTTCTATGAGTGATGCTAAATCTGTTTCTGTTCCTATGGCTTCTAATTTTGTGCTAAGTAGGGATCAATGTCCCAAATCAGAGTCTGATTTTTGAATATATGAAATGTGTGTCATATTCTAATGCTATAGGTTCCATAATGTACTTAATGGTTAGCACTAGGCCAGATTTAGCTTATGATATGAGTTGTTTAAGTAGGTATATGTCGAACCCGGGTTTAGAACACTGGAATGCATTAAAATGGGTGTTTAGATACTTGGTTGGTACAATTAATGTTGGTCTTGTGTTTGGAAAACATACTGAAAATATTAAATTAGAGGGTTTTGTGGATTCAAATTATGCAAATGATAGGGATAGTAGAAAAAGTACTACTTCTTATGTTTTTACTTTATGTGGGACTTGTATAAGTTGGAAGTCTCAATTACAACACGTTGTTGCACTATCCACAACAGAATCTGAATATGTTGCAATTATTGAAGCTTTAAAAGAAGCAGTGTCGTTAAAAGGATTAATCAGTGAATTAGGTTATTTACAACATAGTGTTACTGTTTTTTCGGATAGTCAGTCAGGAATTCAGTTATGCAGAAACCCTGTATTTCATGATAGGACCAAACATATTGACGTATGTTTTCATTTTATATGTGATATTGTATCTAAAGGAATTTTAAAATTAGAGAAAATCCCATCTGAATATAACCCATCTGATATGGGTACTAAAGTTTTACCTACAAATAAATTCGTATTTTGTATGACATACATACATTGTGATACTTTTGATTAGCCTCATATTACTTAGAGTAGTAGGTAGGCTAAGTTAATGTTTTGTTCTAACATTATTTTTGGTGCAGGTAAAGATTATATGGACAATGATGAACCCCATTTACTCGGACGAAAAATCAGGTGGAGGATTTGTTGGATTTTTTGTCCTTCGGATCCACCCCAATACACTACACACCAATAATTATGCAGCCCGATCGAATCAGGCCTGACTTGTGATACACAACCCACACCACAACCACACCCGTTGCTGACCCTTACCTGTGATGCGCCCCTTGCCCGTGACCCGCCTAGGATCCGCGTCCTTTTGCGAGGTCTGATCTGGGCCGTTGATTACAGATCTTGATCTTGGCCGTCCATCTCCATTTTGCATATATATATATATATAGAGAGAGAGAGGCATTATATTATAACTCTCTAATCTCACACTCTCTCTACGCACTACTCTCTGGCCTCTCCCCTCTCTCTTTCTCTCGACCCACTGCTCTCCTCTTTCCGGTGACTTTCACGGCGGTTCACGGCGGTTTCTCGGTGGTGCCTTCCTGCTGTAATATTGTGGAGTTCCTGTGGCACGTTTGTTTTCCCCTTTTGTGTAGTCGTTCGTAGCCGAAAGGGGCTCGCTCGACATTGTAGGCCTTCGGGTGCCTTGTTTGTGTTTGTGTGGGGTTATATATAGTGTGTATCACGGTTGTGGCCGGTTTGTTTGTGTAGTCGCTAGCTTAGGTGTGTATAGTGTCGATTTTGTGGATTTTCGAGTTGGTTGGGGCTGAGCCTAACCAAACTAGTTCAATATTTGTGTTGTTACTCGATTTCTTTAATAAAATCTTTAGATCCATTTATATTTTTTATAACACCGTCCACAAATTAATGTCTTATTTTCTTACGTCCAACAACTATTATCCTTTTTTTTTTTAGGACAAATTTTACTTTTTTTACCTTTGATTAATTTATTATTTTTAATCTCTACCGTACCATTAATGATAAATTTGTTAATTTATAACAAAAAGACAATCACCTAAAAATATATTTTAGAATAATAAAAATTGAATGGAGGGAGTAATAGCATAATATAACTAAGTATTTAAAAATAAAATTTATATATAATATTTGAAATAAGAATTATATTTAATTTATTTTTATTTTTAAAAAAAGGGTCGGAATCTTAGAGATGTGTTTGTTTAATAGGGTTTAAGTTTTGAATAATAATTATTAATTTAAACATATGTGGAGGCCCACAGCCCAACACGGTACACTGACAGGAAATTGGACACTCGTCAACTCCTGCACTCAAATATGGGTTTGTTTTTTCACCTCGTAGTCATCGACATCGCCGAATTTCTCACTCACCCAAGAGCAGAGCTCCCAACAAATTCCCGCCGCAGCCCAGCCAGAAACTCAGACCAGACCAAGTTCATCTGAGACCCGAGAGAAACGAAACCAAAAATGCCGAGAAGATCTAAGGCCAAAACCGCCGCGTCCAAATCTGTCACCACCCCGTCCCGCCGCGTTTCGTCGGCCAATGCCTCGCCGGTTTTTTTCGACCTACGTGGCGCCGGCGGTTCATTGGGCTCTTCTTCGTCCCCTTCCGTTAACCCTCCTGCTTCCAGCCCTACAATCGATGCTTCGCATTCACGAGGCCCTCCTAGATCTTTAGTTGCAGCCGAGGACGAAGCAGCGACTAATCGTCTCATTATTGATCTCATGGATAGCAGATTGCGTGAAAATGCCCTTGCCCATCTTGCTAGGGTATGCACAATTTTATCCTCAAATATTTGTATTTTTGCTACTGTGAATGTTCATCATCAACTGTTTAATTATTTCCTTAGTTATTTGGGTTTTGGTGAAATGGCACTTGAACATGGCTAGAAATATGAGATTTGAGCACTCAGACAGGGATACGATGTTATTATCCTTCCAATTGTGGTAGAATTAACAATCGACAAAAGATATACAAACTAACATGTGTGTAAGATATGGCTATATCTCAATTGAGCTAAACTTTGAAATCGAAATAAGTTTTATGTAAGGTTCTTGAAAACTGAGACCTATTTCGTGTCTTGCAACTTTATTGGGTAAATACTGGCTTTATTTGGTTACATTTTTACATGTATTCATTCAATGAACAAAAGCCTATTTTTTTAAGTCTGATATTCCAGTTGATTGCTTGTTGTATTATTGATCAACTCCCTTTCTATTCCAACAGAGAGCGTGGGGATTTCAGGAGTTAGCCGTACGCTTATGGTTTTCTTTTGGTACAATTGCCATACTCTTACAGGTATTGAGGTTTGTTTGATGTATTTGTTGACTTACATGCCCTAATTTTTCTCCAAGGACAGTCTTTCAAGTTATTACAGCAATCAAAAACAAAAATGTGATGTGCCTTTTCGTTGTTGACACATATAAAGCTACCTTGAAACATTCTGATTCTCATATCTGCACTGAAATTTTTTTCAAAGAGTTATGATTGTATAGAAAATGTTTAAAAAGGTGTGTGGTTTTTTGCTCCATTTGTTTATGAAGAAGTTTCTAAAGAGGGTGGTTTGTCCTGGATAATGAGTGGTGGTAAATGGTAACTTTTTACAACTGTTCTGAGTATATTAAATTTTGATTGAAGATCATATGTGGATTTTATTATTCTATCACATTCATTATGTTTGTATTGATAGATTCTTTGTGGAATATACATGTTTATTGTTGTTTTTCTAAAGTTTATCCTCTTTTTGTTGCTTTAAAAATATTTATTATCCTTCACTGCTTGTCATGTCTCCCATATCTGATACCTTACGTTTATTGCCTGCAGGAAGTGCTTTCCGTGTATCCATTATTGTCACCACCATCTCTAACTCCCATACAATCTGATAGGCTATGCAATGTTCTGACACTTCTTCAGGTTTGATGCATTCTTCTGCTGATATATAAAGTTATATGTTGCAAAGTCATTTCATAGATTTCTGCGCATTCAGTTTTTCATTTCTCTTGTTTTATGTGGTTGCTGCAGTGCGTTGCCTCTCACCAAGAGACTAGATCTTTGTTCTCTCAAGGTACCTTTTCTTTTTCTGTACATTTTCCTGTTCTGTATGGAGCTCTCTTTTCGTAAATTAAGCCTCCTATTGTAGGCTCTTTGTTTATGTATGTTCTAAGTGTACTGATTTTTCTTTGTGGTACTTCTTCAGCCTACTTGCCCTTCTATTTGGTTGTGCTTCTCAACCAGATAGGTGAATTGAGGTGTTTTGAGCGCATAAGGATCCTTACACTGGGAATAATAGCTGCTCTTGTACAGGTACCAGATATTCTTCTTGTTACATTTTGAAGTGTACACATGCTACTGGTGCACACCTGCTTTTCTTTCTAATATGTGTGTGTGTATATTTTTATGCACTTGTTAAGAGCAGTGTTTTTTCCCATCTTCATGTGCATAAATTTTTTTCACCCAAGCATGAGGCAGCTGCAAGATCCAACTGTTTTGACTGTAATTCTTCGTCTTTCCCTTTTCTTTTTTTTTTTCTGAGAGGGATTGAATCTTTACTTTCTGTGGCTTAGAGGTGTATATTTCTTATCCATTATCTTATTTATTGCTGTACTTTTCACATCTTGGTAATGGAGATGCCTGTTCTCCTATTTCTAGGTTCCGGACCCCAGAGTGATTTCTCTGCTTCTCGAAGCAGAACTAATACGTCCCTGCCTATGTGCTATGCAGAGAGGCAGTGAATTTTCAAGAACGGTAAGTTTTTTAAATTTTGAATGTATTGCATTTAAATCTGTTGAGCTAATACCATCATATTGGCAATGTCTGTTTCTGAATCATGTGCTACACGATTGACTCACGAGTCACGTTCATCCAGAGTGTTGAAATAGTACCCTAGGTTGCTAAGATTCCTGTATGTTATTGTTACTATCTTTAACTTTCATGCAGCCTATATTTGTTCCTTTGTGTTTTTGGATCTTGATTGTGCTAGTTCTTATAATTTTACTGCTGCTTGATGTGAGACTGTTCTTGTTTTTGTGTGTTAATGCTGTAAATAATTATTGGAATGGCTATGCAGTCTTTTGTTATGATTTATGTTGTACATATATAAAAATAATAGCAATTGATTACACAGATTTATCATTTTGGATTGTTGTTTGATGTTCTTGTTCTATTTCAACATAATCTAATGGCAGGTAGCGACATTAATTTTGAAAAGAATTTTGCTTGATGATAATGGGTTACAACATGTGTGTCGGAGGCCAGATTTGTTTTTGTCTGTGTGGCAAGCACTTAGGAGTGTGGTTGCTTCACTTTCTCAGCTGCCTTCGACTCCACTGCTAAGAGATGTCATCACCTGCTACCTATGCCTCTTTAAAAATGAAAGGTCTGCTATATTGTGAATGAATTCAGTCCTTTTTAAAAAAATTTCACTGTTTTTGTTATTTTCATTAATATTGAAGGAATTAACCTCCATTATATTGCAGAAGTTTAGCACTGAGGCAGTCGCTCCCGAGAAGCCTTATTAATGGCACATTTCGCTACTGTTGTAATGTACGTACATTTGAGTATAAAATTATTAGTTTAACTGGGATTAATGGTGTATATCCATTGTTCGATGTGGTGATTGTTTTCTTGATATTATCATTTGTAGGATGATCACACAAGATTGTTGCTTCAACAGTTGTTGGACCAGACCCGATTATCTCTAATAGCCCAAAAAGGTTGGGGACGTCAATGACATGCTTATGCAATATAACAACTTTTGTTTTTGTAAATCACTGCCCATTGATATCAGTTTCTATAAATTTAACTTAATTTTGTGGTTTTACTACTTAAAAAGGCTATAAATACTTGAATGTGTCTATAGTAGTCAATACTGCAACATAGCATTTGGCTTTTCTTTCTTTGATTTGTTATTGCATACTTTTGTTAGTTGATGGCTCAAGAAAATTATAACCTTTGAATTTTGATACCTGAAAATAATCTCATCTTCACGTAAACATGACTGGTCTAGTGGCAGAATATCTGTACTTTTGTTATATGTGCATTAATGTGTTTAAGGCAGTATAATTGTTCAATAAAATTCCCACTCTCCTTCTTGAAGCTTTTATTACCCCGTCTCCATCCCCTAATATATTTCATGGATCCACTTTATTATTTGAAGATGACATATGTTTTCAATAATTAATTGCTGCTATCAAGTAAGGATGACATAGATGATGCGTTTCCACATAAGCTTATTGCATCAAATTGTTGAGTAAATTGACGGGTAATTCTTTTTAATATTCTTTTATTTGATTTCATTAACTCGTCAAATTTATTTTGTTTAATTTAGAGGAAAATTGCTGTTTTTTTTTTTTTTAGCTTGTCTTTATGGCTGCAGATGGCTCTTGTGTAGTTTATTTTGTGTATAATTGACTAGTAATCTTTTTAATTGTGTATTGATTTATTTTTCTTAATTAGAGAAAGATCGCTGCATCTTATTTTAAATGTCCTGTTGTGCATCTTTTATGGAGTTGGGATTTGACCTTGATTGAGTATGATGTTTAAATCATGGGAAACATATTTCCCCATAGATGCTAATTCGATTTTTGCATACTTAAGATTTGACTCAACTATAAGTCATTACTATAATTGTATCATCTATTCCTTGTTTTCACAATGTTTCATTTATTTTTCATTTTTTATTGTAATTTCCCAATTGGAAAAATGTGACCCGTGAAGATGTCATATTCTTGATTTTCCATTATTATCTTATTTCCTTTATTATTGTTGTTATTGTTATGTGTGTGTGTTTTTTTGTGTGTATCCGCAAAAAATATTAATTATCTTCCGATAGATGTTCCTTGACATAAAAAAGGAATCTTTGTAATCTATTTAGTTGTTTTTCATTGTTGTATACAATGTTGAATTTTAATGAAGGTAGGAAGTTAGCCATAAATTAATATTAAATGATTGTGTGTTTATATTAGACAAAAAAACATTAGTTTTCTAAAAATTATATTTTAGTGTTAAGTTTCTTAAGTATAGAAAAGATAGGGGCCATATGGATTAATATCCGTTATATTTGTACGTCAGCAACACTTTGCTTGTATTGCTCTGAATGTAATCTAAAAGAGTCCTATAATTCTTTTTATCAAGGGTACATGATGCATTTCATGATACCACTTAAAGGATTCGCAGCTGGACTAATGTTATCTTTGATAATAATTATGTAGATCATCACAAAATTCAGCACGGTATTTCCACCATCTCAACGAGCACTGTTCTTCAGAGGCTATTGACATTGATTAGTTCAAGGTATGCTAATGAATTTTCTGATTCAGCCAGTTTATCTCTGAATTCTAGGAATTGCATCCCTCTTCCATTTATAGTCTGCCACGTGTATGCTTAGACAACTATGCATATTTCTTTTAATGCTATTTTTAAATTATTTCCTTTCAAGTTTCAAATGTATTGTACGGTATTGCTGATGGTATTTGTGGGGTCCTACCATTCAGTCTTCATCAATACCTTTCATATAAATTAAGTTTGCGACAAAGCAAGAATATCTGCCTCATATCTTACTATCATAAAATGAATGCCATAACTATAAAACTGTTAGTATCTAATTAAATACCATTTTACTGATTGGTGGTAATCAACAAATCTCTACTTATCTCGACATTAATCATAAATTATAATTGAGTTTTTCTTATAATGACCCCATGAGTTGAACATGTGGGATCCTTAAATATTCCTTTTGAGAAGTCGATTATATGCTCGAGGTGATTTGTAATTTTTGTAAACGCCAGCATGAGCCGTCTTTTTCCTTGTACATTTGGCATGTAGTACATTCAAGTAAGTAACCAGTACCATTATAAACACGTAAGTTTTTTGGGTATGCGGTCGCAGATCGCAATAGATCGATTTTCCTTCCTGTACTTTGGTAGAAGCGGTTATTCATCCTTCTTCAAAATCTCACTATTACCTTTGTTGCTAAAAATTAAAAAGGAGGAAATTTGGAAATATAAGTTGGAAGGATAAGTACATAAATACAACATAAAGTGATTTTTTTTTTTTGTTTCTTTCAACTTAATCTTGTGATCTTTGGTGGAGTTCTTGTAGCACTGAACATCCCCTTTTTATGTGCATTACAAAAGCTCATGGAAGAGGGATGTTTGCAGCGTTAATATATAAATTTAAATGGTGTTTACTATGTGGTGTTAAAACATATATATCTAAACTTCATGTTTACTTTATTTCATTTCAGTTCTCCGTATTGCTACTTTTGGTTTCTTTCTCTGTGAACAGATATTTTCACATTTTACTAATGAGATCCTTTTACAGTGATTTTTAACTTTGTTTATGCATTTATCCATTGTAGCCATGGTAGCACAGAAGAGCTAAATTGTTTAACATTAATTATTCTGATACAATTTGGCCTTTTGCTAGTTTTCTAAGGCCAGACTTTCGGATGGATGCATATTTGTTTTAATTGTTCTCTACTTATTTTTACAGTTTCTAATTACCCTGTTGTTCTGTGAAAATAGTTTCGGAATTTAGCTTCTCATCCAGCAACCCTTAACTTTTAAATCATTTTTTTCTTTTACAACAAAAGGTTGTCTTATTTTGTAGGGTTCAATGGCAGACGTTACTTGGGATGTCATTCTCGCATCAAAAGGGGATTTCCTTCTAATTTCCTGCTTTTCGATTAACTTCAGTAAGTGATCCTTTTGATTCAGTAGCTTCAATTGCTTGTTGGTTTCTATCTATACTCAATAGTAAAATATTGCAGTTCATCTTCAATGCCTTTTATAGATAAACCAAAATTTGGGTTAACAAGTGTGCCTAAAAAGGTCGCTGTGTTCTTTTGAAATTCAATTCTTGTTGGAAATTTTGCTGCTTTCATCACAATTTTGGATATTTGAAATTTTATTCTGTGATATTTGTATAGATAAACTCGATAATTTTGTTTAGCTCCATCGGTGATGGGTATTGCCATGTATTTCAGAGGAAGTTACTATTGAGGACTGTTATTTGGTGTAGCGGTGTTTCTTGTTTTGATCTCATTCTCGAACCTTTGTTGAATTGACCCTCGATTGATGGCACATATTTAATAGCCCATGTGCATACTTAATCGTGCACATACTCTCTTCTGACTTATCAAATGAGTGAAAGTGAAGCAGACTTATCACTTATCTCAGAGACTATAACCTTGTCCATCAATCTTTAGTCACTTCACTTGAAAATTCATATTTTACTCACTTTTTTGTCTCCTCTGTCGCATTATTTTGATAAATGGCAGTGTTCATGCTCCACTCCCTCATGTGGGATTGGCACTTGACCGCTTGCCAGACATATGTACCCATTTATGTGCTTTTCTATAATCATGTGCGCGGTGTTTGCACACTACGGAGAAGGATAGTTTCTGAAGTTTCCTTATTTTAGCTTGATAAATAACCTTTTCTGTCTAAGTTGATTATTTATTGATTAGTCTTCAACTTACTGTTCCTTTTTAATTCAAATGAAGTTGCGCGGTGCTTACACTTTGTATGTAGAAGTTCTCTTACTTCATGCGGTGGCCTGAACTCACTATGTCTTGTCCTTAACAGTTCGCCAACTCAATAGGGCAAGGTGAGGGAGGACGGGAATGGGAATGGGAAACCTCCTTTTAACGGACATGGAAGAACTAAAGCTGGCGGAACTCTCCGAGCCTTTGGGGCAAGGGCAGGTTGTACAAATCTAGTTAGAGCTGTTGGTGTCGCAAAATTTGGGATACATGCCAAAGCATGATACATGTTGAAATGCCTCGGGAGGGGATAGTATCTACTTTGGATGTAGCAGACCTTCGGAGCTTTGATCGATGTATGGACATTTTTTCTATCGTTTCTCTCTTCTCTTGAAGAATTTGAAAAACAAGAGAGCAATTTCTTCATATTTCTTGAGAGAGAGGAGAGAAACAATAGAAAATTGCAGCAGAAATCGATTAGGGCATCCAAGGCCATGCTGCTTTTGCTGCTGCATCCAAAGTGGTCACTGCCCGTCTCGCAGCATTCTGCCGATCGCTTTGCCAGTTCTTCCAGTACTCCATGGCGCCTGCAGCTCATGTTTCTTGTAAAGACAATATTCGATTATGAAGGTTAAATATGTTTATGAAAGTAGTTTTTTAATAGTGATGTCTCAGTAGAATATGATTCTTCTTATTACTGTTATAGACTATTTCATTATTTTGTTCCCAGTTGCCCTCAGCTTTTTGTTACATTTTTGTTAAAAAATTAATGTCTTTATAATCTAAAATATATATATATATATACACATTAGCTTATAACCGTGCATCGGGTTATTTTTATATTAAATTATATAATAATTTAATTTTTTATATAAATAATAGTTAGAGTTTTATTATATGTATATATGAAATATATTACTAGAATTAAATCTCTAAAAATTAATATACATAATAAGTTTTAAAAAGAAAAATAATTTGTAAAACAATATGAATAATAAAATAGATAAAAAAAAATTTATACATTTCAAATTTGATTTTAAATAAAATTTATTTTGAAGAGAAGTAAAAAGTAATACAAATATTGAAAAAAAAAAAGTGAGAAAAATATAAGTTCAAAATTCAATTTAAACTTTAAGATGATAAAAAGTATTTTAATATAAAAAAACTTAAAATTAAAAGAAAAAAAATATGGGACAATTTTTTTTTTTTTAAAAAGACTAAAACAAATAAAAATAGAACTTGTACTATAAATAAGAACAGAGTTAAAATAAAAGTTTAAAACTCAGTAATCTCACAAAAATATATAATTTGTATATTTTTTTTGTATGATTATAACTAAAAGATAAATTTTATTTATAGATACTAAAAAAGAGAATTTATATATTTCATTCCTACTTAGGACATAAAAGATTATAAGTATCCATAGCACTTCAATAATCCTAAAAATTTGTTAAAATCAATATAGGATAAAGAGAAAAAAAAAAATATGAGTTTCAAATTGAATTTTAAATTTAAGATAATAAAAAATATTTTAATATTAAAAAACTGAATTTTTTTTTAAAGAAATATGGGAAAAAAATATTAAAAAAATAATAAAACAAATAAAAAATATAACTTGTACTATAGACGAGAATACAGAGTTAAAATAAAACTTTAAAACTCAATAATCCCAAAAGAAAATATATAATTTGTATATTTTTTTTGTGATTACAACTAAAAGATAAATTTTAGTTATATATACTTGTTGGACATGGGTCCAAAAACAAAATATAAAAGTGGAGCCAGAGCTCATTGGCCACGGAGCCGCTCAACAACAATGGAGCTTCAACCCTCGGAGCCAAAGACTGCTATCTCCACAGAGCTGACGGCAACAATTCCATTGGATTGTGGTGCTTCCACAGGGCCGAAAGCAGCAGTCTCTATGGACCCTAGGGCAGCAACTCCTTGGACTATGACGCCTCCATCCCGAAACAATGTTTCAATAAGGTCAGAAAGTGTTGTCTCCGTTAGGTTGGAAACAACTACCTCCATTGGACTGCGGTGCTTCCACAAAGCAGAGGAAGGTTGCCTCCACAAGATAGAAAACAACAGCTTCCATAGATCATGAGATAACTACTTCCGTTGGCCCTGTGTTAATAATTTTGTACTTAACATTAGCGGAGGGCCTATGCACTTTCATATTTTATTCAAAAAGCTCAATGGAACAAGCCAACAAGAGGAAAACCGAAGATTCTATTTAACTCGAGGTTGTTGGGGATACATCCCCGTGGACCGGCTAGGATTACGATGGAAACAAGTCGGAGTAAGCAGCAGATCTAGTTCAGAGGCAATGGAAGAAGTTCAGAGCAAATGGAACCCGGTCCAGAGGCAATGGAAGCGGTTGGGAGCTGATGGAAGGAGGTTACCAGGTAGTTAGGAGCTGATGGAAGGAGGTTACTAGGGAACTGATGAAATGAGGTTACCAGACAGTTGGAGGTAGTGGAAGGAGGTTACCAAGCAGGAGGTAGTAGTGAGAGGTTACCAGACGGTTGAGAGTGGTGGAGGAATAATTGGAACTGCCCATTTTAGTGGAAAGATGCGGTTATTCTATTTTAGGATTAAAATTAGTAAAAAACACATCACATATACGCACAAGAAGATGAACTCGTATATTTCTCTATTTTCTTTTCATGTTTTACTTTCATTTTATGCATTTTAATTCGAATTACATGCTTTTTTTATTTTCTTTCCAGTAGATTTATCCGAGTTTTAGTAGATGTTAGTTTAAATCAATCGAAATCGATCATTTAGGCTCGAAGCCTCGCTTAGGCTCGAAGCCATGCAGGCTTCATCGAAGGAGCCGCCCAAAATCCGATGACGGACAGGCTCTTTGGAGTACTTCCGGAACCCACACCGACAAATCGACGAACGGTTTTGGAACCTCTAAATTTTAGGATCCAACAATTGGCACGCCCAGTGGGACCAAAGTCGGATTTTTCAAAAAGTGATATCGAGGTTGACATGGGGTTCATTTGTACTGCCTGAAAAAAGCTACGGAATTGTTTCAAAACATCCAATGCTTTAAGCCGTAGGCCGGGGCAGGCAAGATCAGGCTGGAACCAACAGCCTACGGAGGGCTGGTACAATTAGTCTGCGGAAGGCTGGTTCCAACAACCTGTGGAAGGCTGACAACAGCCTGCGGAGGGCTGGAACCACTAGCCTGCGGAAGGCTGGAACCACCAGTTTGCGAAAGGCTGGAACCAACAGCCTGCGGATGGCTGGAGCCAACAGCCTGCGGAGCGCTGGAGCCAACAGGCTGAGGAGAGCTGAAACCCCTTGGCCGTTGGAGTTTTGAATAGCAGTGCTGAGCTTCCACGAGGGGCAAGCAAATTTGCAGCATTTGGCATGATCCCGCCAGGGCGATTAAGCGGACAACCTATGTGGAATGCACCACACCACCATGGAGATGTCACCGTCTGCACGTGGCTAATCTCCAATGGAAGAGGATCATTGAAACACAAGGGCAAGGAGGGCAGGCCGCAGAGATGCAGCCGCCAACCTTCCATCAACAGGCAGCCAAAGGCAGCTGCTGACACCAAATCAACAGGAGGCCAAGCCTCTAATGGACGTTGATGTCATTGTAGATTGCATAAGGAGGGCATTTTCAAAAACAAGGTTTGAAAAGAAGTCTAGTGCCACTTTGAGTGCGGAAAATTCACCTCCATACGAAAAAGAAGCCATGAAAGTTCTAGAGCTTGTGGAGGCAGAGACTCCAGAAGTTGTGGAGGCTCCAATTGAAAAGGAGTTTGCGGAGGCAGGTGTTCCAGAAGCTTTGGAAGCTCCAGAGCTTGTGGAGGCAGAGACTCCAGAGGCTGTGGAGGCTCCAGTTGAAAAGGGAGGCAAAGGTTCTAAAAGTCATGAAAGCTCCAGAGCTTGTGGAGGCAGAGACTTCAGAGGCTGTGGAGGCTCTAATGGAAAAAGAATCTGCGGAGACAGAGGTTTCAGAAGTCATGGAAGCTCCAGAGCTTATGGAGGTAGAGACTCTGGAGGTTGTGGAGGCTCCAATCGAAAAGGAGCCTGCGGAGGCAGAGATTCCAGAGGCCATGGGGCCGCCCAAGAAGCAAGCTGTGGAGCCGCCTCCAAAAAAGAAGCAGACTATAGTGCCGCTTCCAGAAAGAAAGCAGGCCATGGAGCTGCCAAGGAAGCAGGCCATGGAGCCGCCTCAAAAAAAGAAGCAGGCTATGAAGTCGCTTCCAGAAAGAAAGTAGGCTGCACAACCACTAAGGAAGCAGGCTAGGGAGCTGCTAGGGAATCAGGCCATGGAGTCGCCTATAAAAAAGAAGTAGGCTATGGAGCCGCTTCCAGATAGAAATCAAGCTATGGATCCGCCTAAAAAAAAGAAGCAGGTTGTAGAGCCGCTTCAAGAAAGAAATCAGGCCATGGAGCCGCCAAAGAAGCAGGCTGTGGAGCCGCTTCAAGAAAGAAAGCAGACTGTGAAGTCGCTAAGGAAGCAAGTTGTAGAGCCACTTCCAGGAATGAAGCAGGCCATGGAGGTGCCAACAAAGCAGGCTATAGAGCCGCTTCCAAAAAGAAAGCAGGCCATGGAGCCGCCAAGGAAGCAGGCCATGGAGCTGCCAAGGAAGAAGGTTGTAAAGCCGCTTTTAGAGAGAAAACAGGCTGTGGAGCCGCTTCAAGAAAAGAAGCAGGCTATGGAGCTGCTTCCAGAAAGAAAGTAAGTCATGGAGCTGCCAAGGAAGCAAGTTGTGAAGCCGCTTTCAGAGAAAAGAGAGGCTGTGGAGCCGTTAAGGAACCAGACTATGGAGTCTTTTCCAAAAAGGAAGCAAGTAGAGGAGCCTCCAAAAGAAGTTCAAGAGTTAAAGGAAGTTGTTGTTGATGAAGAGCCTATTTTCGAATGGAATGATGTGGCAACGATGATAGAATTTAAGAGGCCGGGGCCTGGCCAAAACCAACATGTCAAGCCTTTGCACATTCGGGTCTCGATGAATGGCTATCCGCTTGACCAAGTTCTGGTGGACAGTGGAGCTTCTGTGAATGTGTTTCCAATTGAGACCCTACGGAAGTTCGGAAAGACTAGTGATGATTTGATTTATACATTTGTACGGCTTACCGATTTGGTGGAAAATTCTTACAAACTGGCAGGTATGATCACTTTTGAATGTGCGGGTGGGGACAAAGGAAATATCATCAAATTTCATGGTGATTCATAGTAGGCCATTCTATTCGGCTCTCTTGAGACGGAATTGGATCCATGCATGCGAGTGTGTGCCTTCGATACTCCATCAAACGTTGATGTTTTGGGATGGAAATGAAGTCCAAGAAGTGAAGGCCGAGAAGGATCCCTTGTCGACAGAAGTGACCACAATTGATTTAAGTGAACGGCTCAAAGCAAAAGGACATGGGCTCAATGGAAGCAATTGCCCAGCCCTGTTGGACATGGGTTCAAAAGTACCTGAACATGAAAGAGGCTCAAAGATAAAAGTGGAGGCAGAGCTCATTGGCCACGGAGCCGCTCAACAGCAATGGAGCTTCAAGCCTCGGAGCCAAAGACTGCTGCCTCCATAGAGCCGAAGGCAACAGTTTCCATTGGATTGTGGTGCTTCCACAGGGCCGAAAGCAGTAGCCTCCGTGGACCTTAGAGTAGCACCTCCTTGGACTATGGCGCCTCCATCCCGGAACAAAGTTTCCATAAGGTCAGAAAGTGTTGTCTCTATTAGGTTGAAAACAACTACCTCCGTTGGACTGCGGTGCTTCCACAA